TTTCTTAAGTCTCATGGCAGTGACAGGCCCCTGTGGGGAGAAGTTGCTTGGCAACTGGAATTCTTATTTACCAATAGGTAATTTAATATAAGGCCTTCTAAGTATGCACTGTATGATCCACTGTTTTTGTTCTTACTGGTAATAGAATTCTAAGGACAGTAAGTAAGCATAAGACAGTAAGTAAACTTAAGACAGTACAAATTGATAGGGGAAAAAAAACAGAATACAAATTTATAATTAAATGACTCCCTTTCTCCTCTATTCTCTCCCCCAACTCCATCCACCAAAGCAATTTTTTTTAAAGCACATTTTATTTTTCTCTCCTCCCCACCAAGTGTCAAAAGAAATTCAACCACCTTACAGCTTCCAAAAAACACAAAGAAAAAAAAAATGTTTTAAATTATGACTTTAAGAGAATTCAAAGAACTATGTAGCAAGAGCATCTGGCTATAAAAGATAGTTTTATGATAAGAACAGGCAGAACAGAATCGAAACTGTGGACAGGAGGGACTCTAGCATAACTGTTTACTTAGTATATAAAATGCTTAGACAGAAACATTAGTCAAAAAGCCAATTACTAAGGAGAGTTGCTCCCAAACCAAGGCAGCTTCTAGAACACATATAATAGATGTAAGCCAGGCCTGAGTACTAACATTCTTCACTTTTCTCCCTTCACTGTAGAAAACAATTCATGCAGTGAATATTATTCTAGGAACCACTGAAATTCAATACTAAATTATAAAATGCTGCAATTTAAAAATGTAATAAAAAAAAGAGCCTGAAGCCTGAATAATTTGGAAATCTGTCTAAACAATATAAGAAAATCAGCAACTGTTTCAATTTTTTATTTGAAAAAAAATGCTTATTCTTGCTTCATCAACACTGATCCCCCCCACCCCCATCCCTTCGCTGCCCTTTGGTATTCTTGGCCATATGCTGCCATAAACTTCTACCCAAAAGAACACCTCTAGGCTGGCCAAGCACCTTGATCAATCACAGTAGGTTAGGGACCAAAAAAAAAAGAACACAAAAGGCAGATCACTCATTTCGGATCACCCTACACACAGAATTTTCTCCCATATATTAAATTTTGTAAGGGTGGCACTAAGCAACAGAAAAATAAGATGCTCTGTGGCGTTGTTACAAAGTTTTCCTACTTTGAGTAGACATTCATGACACAAGTTTTTTTTAAAAAACGCACACAAATGTATATTTTACATATTTAAGTATCACATACTCATATCTTTCTTCTCGAAATAGGAAAATATATGTGAAAAAACTCAATTGTCTAATACAATAATGGAGGCCCTGGGCAGGTAGCTCAGTTGGTTAAGGTCATCATCCCAATACATCAAGGTTGTGGGTTCCATCACCAGTCAGGGCATATACAAGAATCAACCAAGGAATGCATAAATAAGTGGAACAACAAATCGACCTCTCTCTCAAATCAGTAAATAATAACAAAAATTAAAATGATGACAGATTAGCCCTGGCCGGTTTGGCTCAGCGGTTAAAGTATCAGCCTGCGGTCCCGAGACCCGAGTTTGGTTCCTGCTGGGGGCATGTACCTCAGTTGCAGTTTGTCCCCGGCCCTGGTTGGGGCTGTGGTGGGTGGCAGCCACTCAATGTGTCCCTTTCATGTCGATGTTTCTCTCTTTCTCTCTCCCTCTCTCTCCCTCCCACTCTATCTGAACAAAAAAATGAAAAAATGTCCTTGGATGAGGATAATAAAAAAAAAAATGATGACAGATTAAAAATCTTTAGAAGCTGGCCTTTTGGTTGTTGTTATTACTCTTACTTAAATACTAATGCTCTCCCTATACAGTTTTGTCCAGACAGAACAATGCTTAACATCCCAAAGGAAGATACAAGGAAATTAGTGAATGGTGTGGTTAAGACAGGTACATTAAATAGGACCTCTTTCAGCCCTAGCTGGTGTGACATTGTCCCATGCACTGAAGGACTGATGGTTTGATTCCCAGTCAGGGCACATTCCCAAGTTGCAGGCTTGATCCCTGTAGGGGGCATGCAGGAGGCAGCCAATTGATGTTTCGCTCTCACAATGTTTCTCTCTCCCTTCCTCTCTGTCTACAAATCAATTTTTTTAAAGATCTGTTAAAGAGACTTCTTTCAAAGAGGCTTTCCTCCAATATACCATATACAAGTTTGGTAAATGAAATAATGAGACAGTGTCTTTTAATAAATAAAAGAAGAAAATCATATTCATAATACCTAAACAATTCTCACCATGAAAATATGACTTGAAATTAAAATCCTACTTTTAGGATACAGAGAAATTTGGAAGGCTAGCGGTCTGACCTTGCTCCAGAGCCAGCATGCCCACTGGACAGCTTCAGACCACGACGAAGCACCACCACCCAACCACCTTCACAAGTGACATACACTCAAGGAGTGGACTCCAGAGCACTGCTGAAGTAAGTTTTGTGTGGTGGGCCCCTGCACAACTGGTCCTCCAAAGTAGTCAGAGGTCAGTGGTTAGTGGGCACCTGACAGTCCATGCAGCTGATCAACCTGAGTAAATCCCTCCCATTGATATGACAATAACAAACAAGACTCAATTACAATAGAAGGGTATACAGTCCATACTAGGGGTGCACCTTGAGGACCCAGCGGGGGTAATCAGGGAGGCTGTGCCACTGGACCCTACAGGACACCTACTATAATAGGTCACCCTTGGAAGCCTAGGAGACATAGCAACTCTACCTAATACAGAGAAACAAACACAGGGAGGCAGCCAAAATAAGGAGATAAGAAACATGTCCCAGATGAAAGAACAGAACAGAACTCCAGGAAAAGAACTAAATGAAATGGAGATAAGCAATCTAACAGATGCAGAGTTCAAAACACTGGTTGTACGGATGCTCAAAGAATTTAGTGAGGGCCTCAAGAACATAAAAAAGAACCAGTCAGAAGTGCAGGATACACAGTCAGAAATGAAGGAGGCACTAATTTAAATAAAGAATAATTTACAGAGAATCAGTAATAGAGTAGGAGAAGCCAAGAAGCAAACCATCGATTTGGAATATAAAGAAGCAAAAAAAAAACAACAACACCACCACCCAATCAGAACAGCAAAAAGAAAAAGAATCCAAAAAAATGAAGACAGTGTAAAGAACCACTGGGACAACTTATAGTGTACCAACATTTGTATCATGGGGGGGGGGGGGGGGGGACAGAAAGAGAAGAGAGAGCAAAAAATTGAAAACCTATTTGAAAAAATAACGACAGCCCTGGCTGGTTTGGCTCAGCGGTTAGAGCATCGGCCTGCGGTCCAGAGAGGCCCAGGTTCGGTTCCCGCTAAGGGCGCGTACCTCATTTGCAGTTTGTCCGCGGCCCTGGTTGGTCGTGCGGGTGGTAGCCACTCGATGTGTCCCTTTCACGTCGATGTTTTTCTCTCTCTCTCTCTCTCTCTCTCTCTCTCTCTCTCTCTCTCTCTCCCTCTCTCTCCCTCCCACTCTATCTGTACAAAAAATGGAAAAATGTCCTCGGGTGAGGATAAAAAAAAAGAAAAAGAAAAAATAACGACAGAAAACTTCCCTAATTTGGTGAAGGAAACAGACATACAAGTCCAGGAAGCACAGAGAGTCCCAAACAAGGTGAACCCCAAGAGTCCCACACCAAGACACATCATCATCAAAATGCAAAAGGTTCAAGACAAAGAGAGTATATTAAAAGCAGCAAGAGAAAAAGCAGTTAGTTATCTACAAAGGAGTTCCCATAAGACTGTCAAATGATTTCTTTTTTATTTTTTTATTTTTTATCCTCACCCGAGGACATTTTTTTTTGTTCATGTAGAGTGGGAGGGAGAGAGAGGAAGAGAGAGAGAGAGAGAAACATCGATGTGAAAGGGACACATCGAGTGGCTGCCACCCGCACAACCGACCAGGGCCGGGGACAAACTGCAACCAAGATACATGCCCTTAGCGGGAACCGAACCCGGGTCTCTCAGGACCGCAGGCGGATGCTCTAACCGCTGAGCCAAACCGGCCAGGGCAAGACTGTCAAATGATTTCTTAAAAGAAACTTTGCAGGCCAGGAAGGAGTGGCAAGAGATATTCAAAGTGATGAAAAGCAACAACCTACAACCAAGATTACTTTATCGTGCAAAGCTATCATTTACAATCGATGGACATATAAAGAGTTTCCCAGACAAGAAAATGCTAAAGGAGTCACCACCACCAAACTAGTATTATATGAAATGTTGAAGGGTCTTCTTGAAGAAAAAGAAGATAAAAAATATGAACAACCAAAATGGCAAAAAATACATATCTATTGACAATTGAATCTACAAACAAAATGAACAAGCACAACAGAAACAGACTCATAGATACAGAGAACCTTTTGTAGGTTGCCAGATGGGAGGGTGATTGGAGGAATGGGTGAAAAAGGTGAAGGGATTAAGAAGTACAAATTGGTTGTTTGACAAACCTCAAAGGGAAGGGGGGGCATGAAGAGATAAACCAGACTTTATATGCATATACACATAACCAATGGACACAGACAACAGTGTGGGAAAGGCAGATGGGGGAAGGATCAGGGAGGAGGGGAGTGCAATAGGGAAAAAAGGAGGAATATCTGTAATACATTCAACAATAGAGACAAGTTTTTTTGTTTTTTTAATTGCTCTTTAAGGGTAATTAGTACAAAAATCCACTGAGGCTGATTTTAGAATGCTGGCACCTAACAATAAACAAAAGGTTTAGTAATGGACTAAATTAAGTTCTATCAATCCATTGTTTTTGATGCACCGTTAATTCTTTGCATAGCTCCCTTCACAGTAACTTCTCAAAAGAATATGAGAACAAATTCTTTCAATAAACATTTTATCACACACCTCCTATATTGCTAGGTACTGTCCCACGAGTCAGAAACAGAAAAACAGCCATTTAAGGACTTATCTGGTTTATCACCAAATCTCTGATCAACTCTGAATGCCAGTTTTTAACATTTATGGTTTTGGGGTTTGTTTGTTTTTTTACCTTCATTAGCCTCTGGTCTTGAATTCTTAATATATGCAGAGAACTTGGCAAAGATGTCCATTCCAGCAGTATTTGATTCTGGGTGTTTTGGTGAAAGCTTTAAATACCTAAATAGAAAAAGGGATAATGGATTATAGATCCTCCAAAGATACATCAATATAAATTCCCTCAATCAACAAACCATTGTGCTAGCAGTTACTAGATATCTTTTAACAGTTATTACTCTAAGAAATGCTATCATCTGTTTCCTATGATATATATTTTTTCTTTTTTAGTTTATAGAGGTAGGGGAGTATGCCTGAGTCGCTGGGGGGTGGCCAGATGGGAGCTGGGCTGGGGGTGGGGGGACGGGTGTAGCTGAAGAGAAGTGAAGCTGGGGTCAGAGGGGAAGTAAAGCGGGGTTAGGGGGGTGGCGGGCAGTGGGGAGATATCCTGAAGGCAAATGGGGGTTGGGGTGAGAATGGCTGGGAGGATAGTGGGGGTCAGGGGCCTGGTGGCCCGAGTGGGTGGAGTGCAATCTCCTATGATATTTTTAAGATTTTTTTTCCTTAGGAAACAAAGCTATGCACAGTGTTTTTGTTCACATATTAATATTCTTGGCAACCAAAAGGCATCCACACTCCATCTACATTTTATAAACTAAAATGCTGGGGAAATGGGCGTCTTAGAAAGAGAACCCCAGAGCAGTGCTAAGAGAACTTTCTGTGATGATGGAAATATTCTATATCTGAATTGTCCAATATGGTAGCCCATTAGTGACATGTGGCTATTTGAATATGAATTTAAATAAAGTTAGAAGTTCAGTTTTTCAGTTGCACTAGCCACATTCCAGCTGTAGCGCCTTTTTAAAAATACACGTTTTGCCCTGGCCGGTTTGGCTCAGCAGTTAGACCGTTGGCCTGTGGTCCAGAGAGACCTGGGTTCAGTTCCTGCTAAGGGTACGTATCTTGGTTGCAGTTTGTCCCCAGCCCTGGTTGGGTTGTGTGGGTGGCAACCACTCGATGTGTCCCTTTCACGCCAATCTCTCTCTCTCTCTCTCTCTCTCTCTCTCTCTCTCTCCCCCTCCCACTCTATCTGAACAAAATGTGGAAAAGTGTCCCCGGGAGAGGATAAAAAAAATTATAAAAATATATGTTTTTATTGATTTTTTTAGAGAGGAAGGGAGAGACAGAAGATTGATGTGAGAAAGAAACATCAATGGGCTACCTCCTGCATGCCCCCTACTGGGGACTGAGCCCGCAAGCTGGGCATGTGCCCTGACCAGGAATTGAACTAGGACCTCTCAGTCCATGGGACAGCGCTCAATCACCTAGCCACACTGGCCAGGCTGTAGTGCTCTCTTAAATAGGAATGCTAGCCCTGGCTGGTTTGGCTCAGTGATTAGAGCTTTGGGCTGCCTGCTAAGGGCACGTACCTCGGTTGCAGTTTGTCCCTGGCCCCAGCTGGGGTTGTGTGGGTGGCAACCACTCGATGTGTCTCTCTCACTTCGATCTCTCTCTCTCTCTCTCTCCATCCTTCTTTCCCTCCCACTCTATCTGAAGATAAGTGCAAAAAAAAATGTCCCAGATGCTTAGTGAGCAGTGTACTGAACCAGCCCTGTCCAGCAGCACCAGATAACCTTGATAGCAGAAAAAGTCTAGGTTGGTCAAATATCTTTGTTAAGACTTACCTTATACCTATTATACCTTATACCTAAGGTACCTTACAAAATACCTTATAATGTAATTTAGATTTAGTTAGGTATTTTAAGGTACTGTCTTAGCAGTTTTCTTTAAATTAAAAATGAAGATGAGGTCTTTTTAGATAGAAATTTAGTTCAGTTGCAAGGTGTGGTTTCAGGTTAGTTTTTATTGTCACATTTTCTACATTTTACTATTTTGAATTCAAGAAGAGATATAGCTTTTAAAAATTGGACATAGCACTATACTGGGTAAGAATATAAAATATCTATTGAATATTTATATGTTCAAGTTATCTTTCTTTTTAATATCTCTCCATTTTTAAGCTTAAAGATTTCTCTTATAAACAAAATTATTTAAAAAATGAGCTTTTCAGTGAACAATTATGGTAAATGAATTTCATCTGAGTTTATTTTATTTTTTTTTATCCTCACTCAAGGACATTTTTTTTCATTTTTTGTTCAGATAGAGCAGGAGGGAGAGAGAGGAAGAGAAAGTGAGAAACATCGACGTGAAAGGTACACATCGAGTGGCTGCCACCCGCACGACCCAACCAGGGCCGGGGACAAACTGCAACCGAGGCACGTGCCCCTAGCGGGAACCAAACCCGGGTCTCTCTGGACCGCAGGCCGACACTCTAACCGCTGAGCCAAACCAGCCAGGGCTCATCTGAGTTTATATATATTATATATTATGCAAATTTTCCCCCCTCCTATCTATAGAAAACTTTATACACCCCCAAACACCTCTTTTTCCCCCTGCCTGAGCTGTAACAGTTAATCCCTTCTTCAACATCTCTGGGTTTCTTGACTATAAAAACAACCAACCTCCACCTTAAATGTCTGCACCACTGGTAAAACAGTACCTTCATTGACTCATTCCAACAAAAGAAGGTACAAGGAATATAAGTGCTTCTTCAATACATCTATGTCTTTCTCTAGCCAAGTTTCCAAAATTAGTCTTCTTTCCTCAATATTTAGCTGTACCAAATTTTTCTAATGAAGTAAACTTCATAATTCTCAAAATAACTTACAGGAAAGCAGGCTCAAATTACAGCTATTTTATTCATTTATTCTAATTAATATAATTGAATAAATGACTATTCACATATATCCATTTATTAAGTATGTATTATGTGTCAGGCATTGTACTAAGTCATGGGATGTAATGATAAGCATACTAACTACAGACCTATTTTAATGAACAGGTAAGATAAAGGCCTCAATAAGCATATCCTCATTCATACAGAAATAGATAGTATTAAAAAATTTTAAAAACACTATTCTCTAAAGCAAGTTAAATGTGCCCTATTCTTTCCTTCCAAGACAAACCATTAAATTTGCATGATTAATTTAATGCATACAATACTATAGCTACAAGAGACCATTCACCTCAATCTCTCATTTTGCTAAAAGGAAATTATATTTCAGAAAGTTTACATACTTGGCTCCAAAGTCATCAGATTAATTTAAACTATCACCAAACTAAAGCTCACATTTCCTGTCCCCAGGTGCAGTGTTGTTTTGTTTTTGTTTTATTACAGATCAGGTTCTCCCTAAAATATAAATCAAATTCTAAACCAGTAGGTCCTAAATTAGTTGCCAACTTTTCCTGCATCCCCCAAAACCCTGTATATTAATAATTCATCCATTATTATTAGTTGCAGCAGACAGCTTGATAAAGCAGTAATTTTCAATTATTGTGAATATTCATTTTAACATTTACAAAAGGAAGGCAAATAATTAATAAAAGGCTGTGTGTCAACAACAGCACAGACATGAGCACCCAGTGTATTTAGGCTTTCCAATTAGCCCTATTAGACTATTAATGGAGGACTAGCTAATAATATTTCCATCCTTTTAGGAAAGATTTCAGACTTCTCCTTTCTCAAACCAATATAAGAATAAAGCCTAGTTATACAGCCTATTAAATTATCCTTGTAAATTCAACTTTCATTGACTGTATTTCTCATTTTTAAAAAGGCTTTATAACACTTATAGAGAGCTCGTCTCCAAAATTATCTAGATTTCTCTATCCTTCTATCCTTTTATCAGTAAGTTAGCCAGGTATACAGGCCCACTTCAGTTAAAATTCCAAGTTTCAAAGCTTCTTTAAAGCTTGTGTGTGTGTGTGGGGGGGGGGGTGTGGAAGAGGCAAAGTAGTTCCTTCATTCAAGCAAGGGAAACTAAATATAAAAACATAAACACATTCCCCACAGAAAAAGAAAGAGAAGAGTAAGCATCTTCTTAAAACCTATAGTTACAGCCCTGGTTGGTTCAGCGATTAGAATGTTGGCCTGTGGACTGAAGGGTTTTAGGTTCTATTCTGGTCAAGGGTATGTACCTGGGTTACAGGTTCGATCCCAGGTCGGGACCAATTGATGTCTCTCTATCTCTCCCTTCCTCCCACTCTCTCTAAATATCAATGGAAAAATAGCTTCAGATGAGGATTAACAACAAAAAACCTACAGTTACATTGACCAGCAAGTTGCTTGATTTAGCTTTTTGCTAGTCTCTAAATTCAAACAGACAGTTGCTTGTATTATATTTGGCATGATTATATCAGAAGTGCTCATATAAAAACACTGTCCGCATTACCATTAAATGCCAAAGACATGTTATTAGAAATGCTAGATTCTAGTCTACCAGCTTGTACAGCAATTCTGCCTTCTTCTCATTTTATCTGGAAACAATAAGGCTTACAACATGTGTGAGGAGGATCAGCGATAGTTAAGGACCTGAAGGTCTACTTGTTCTAGAGAGAAAAGACAGTGAGCCAGGATGGTCCTCAGATGCTATAGAACAATAAAGGAAAGAAAAAGGAATGCATGTGATAGTCCCAGAAACACTTCTCCCTCCCACTCCTCCTCTAGATACAATTCTGCATGACAAAGACTATGCTGTTTGATGACCATTTCATATTTTGGGTTGCAGAGCCCACTGAGGGGAAGGAACTCCCAATTCTTGTTCATAACAGTTCCTCACTGATGTGCATAAAACTACAATATATTTTACAAAGATCCCAGTTTTGACTTATTGGTCTTCTACTTATATATAAGGCCTGGCCCTGGCCGGTTTGGCTCAGCGGTTCGAGCTTCAGCCTGCGGTCCAGAGAGACCCGGGTTCGGTTCCCACTAAGGGCACATACTTCGGTTGCAGTGTGTCCCCGGCCCTGGTTGGGTCATGTGGGTGGCGACCACTCGATATGTCCCTTTCACATCAATGTCTCTCTCTCTCTCTCTCTCTCCCTCCCACTCTATCTGAACAAAAAAATGGAAAAATGTCCTCCGGTGAGGATAAAAAATATATATATATGGCCTGGAGGAAAAGTCAAGATACAGTTTTATTAATGTTAGTCTGAAGAAACTTTACTGGGGATGGAAGGAAGGTTTGGACTCCTGGTAAACAGAGATAAAAGAAGTTTGAGGCTCTTAGAAAGACAGGAAGAGGATAGCTTTTATAACACAGGATTAAGAAAATAAAATTTTAACCTTAGTACAAAATTGCTAAACAGAAGGCAATTCTGTTCACAATAGAAGATGTGTTAGTTGTAGACAGAGGTATACCTCCAATCATACCTTCAAGTCCCCAAAAGAAGCACTATTGATTCAAAATTGCTCTTCTGCCTGGAATGACTGTCATTCCTTTGCTCACCTGCTGAATATAACTTTTTAAAATATGTTTGCATTGATTTTTTTTTTTTTTTTTTAGAGACAGAGAGGAAGGGAAAGAGAAATAGAAACTTCGATGTGAGAAAGATACATAGGTCGGCTGCCTCCTGCACACCCCCTACTAGGGATCAAGCCTACAACCCAGGCATGTGCCCTGATAATTAATCAAACCAGGACCTCTCAGTCCTTGGGATGATGCTCAATCCACTGGGCCACACCGGCTGGGCTGAATGCCACTTTTTGAAATTAAAGTTTAATTCAAGTATCGTTTTTTCTCTAAAGCTTTTCCAGACTCAACTCACTTTCTTTTCTTTTTTTGGTCAGTCTCCCCCCCCCCCCCCCCCCCCCCCAAATTACAATCGATCCATTCACTTTCCCAAACCACCACCACTACCACCCATATTTGACTGTGCTGCAGAAACTGTGTCTTCTAATTCACTATTGTGTCCACAAGGCTTTGTTGTCCAATAGCTGTTTTCAGAATGAATATTGAGTAATTAATTATTTTAGAATCCTCTGACCCAACAATACCATTCCTGGGAAATTTATCTGGATAAGGAAGATAAGTGACTAGCAAGAAAAGCTCGGGCTAAAAGAAAAAAAAATGTTGTTTTCAGGATAATGAAACTAGAAAAGCCTAAAATAAATCAATAATGCTTTAAATCTATGCCAATATTACAGTATGATACAAAACTGCATATTTGCAATTTAGATCACTGTCATGAGAGTTCATCTATTTGTCAACTGTACCTTATATTATAGAAAACAGTACTTTCAAACAGTTAACCATGTAGAATCTGGGAATCTGTAACATCTCAAAGAAATACATAAATAGAAAATGAATCCCAGGGACACAGTCTAAAATTTAATTCACTTGGGTAGTATCTTCAGAACGTTACCTTTATAAAATGACCTGATAGGAAATCCCCCAGCAATCTGCACCACACCTGCTTAGACCTGGCTGGGTTCAGTTTGAATCTCTTTCCCCATCTCTTCTCCCTCCTAAACTTCTCTCTCAATTTGGAACCTATGCCCCTCGAATAACCAGTCTTTCCTGACCTATCTCACATGCCCCAAGCCTACTTTCACCGTGTCCTCTACAGCTTCCTACCTAATCAGATTCCTGTCTTTCGTAGCATGGCTATTGGCCTAGCCAGAAGCCAATGCTGACATCTGTGTAGAATTATAATAAATGAAGAGAAGTCCTAGTCATTCCAACTTAACACTGTGAGAATTTAACTCAAGCACCATTAGGAGAGAGGTCTCTAAGGGCCAGACAAGACAAAGCTTTAAAGAAATGGCAATATTTCTATGCATATTTTCTTTGATACTCACTTGGGAGGGCATAAGACTTCTTCAAGAAATTCTTCAATCTTATTTACATCCGTTTTGACTTCACTGTTGAAAGTTATAAATGGTGGGTGGGTCCCGGGAGCCAAGTTCTGCAGATCTACAGGCTTCCTGTTAGGCAAAATAGGTCAAAATTGCATCATTTTTTTTTTACTCCAACTGAGAAGGCAACAATCCTTGAAATTCTCAGAGTGGTTCTACATCTTAAAGTATGTAAAAATTAATAACAGTATTTTTTTCACTAGATATAACAGCTGCAATGGTACTCAGATAAGAAGCAAACCTCCACAAAGCACATAATTTCTAAGAAAATTGGGAGGAGTCTTTGATTTGAACCAAAGACAAAGCCCTTCATTCTCATTCCAAGTTTAACTGAGGTGCTTATTAGAAATGGTAATAGAATGAAGAGAGAAAGACTTGGAGATTGAGAAAGTTGGTCTCTAGTCTCAGCTCTGGTACCAACTCATTGTTTAAAATTGGGTAAGCCATAATTTATCTAGGCCATTCCTTTAAGTTTTTTGTAAAACAAGGGAGAAGAGCAGCTGATTCCTACAGTCCTTTTCAACTACAAGATTCCAAATTCAGATGCTACTTCTTTTCCATTTTCCTACAAATTTAGACTTAACAAAGAAAAAGATCACCAAATTTGACTATCTAAAATTGAAATTACTTCAATACATTTAAGACAGCATAACCAAAGCTAAGAGGCAACGTAGTATGAAAAAAAAATATTATGGTGAATACAAAAGGCTTAAAGTGTATATTAAATGAAGATTTTGTCCAGTCATTAAAAAAGTCATCAAGCCTGACCAGTGTGGCTCAGTGGACTGAGCATTGTCCCATGGACTGAGAAGTCCCAGTTCGATTCCTGGTCAGGGCACATACCCAGGTTGTGGGACCAATCCCCAGTGGGGGGCATGCAGGAGGCACCATTCGATGTTCTCTCTCATTGATGTTTCTCTCTCTCTCCCTCCCTTTCCCTTCCTCTCTCTAAAATCAATAAAGAAAAAAAATACTTGATAAAAGTCAACATCTGACTTAACTTTCAACTCTGACTCTTTTACTGAGCACTCCTTTTTTTTAATCCTCACCTGAGGATTCCACACCTCTCCCCTTTTTCTTCAGATAGAGTGGGGGGACAGAAAAAAAGAAAGAGAGACAGCGAGAGAGAGAGAGAAACATCAATGTGAGAGAGACACATTGATTGGTTGCCTCCCACATGACCCTGGCCAGGGCCAGGGACCAAACCACAACGAAGGTATGTGCCCTTGACTGGAATGGAACCTGCAACTCTTTGGTCCAAGCGCCGACACTCTAACCACTGAGCCAAGCTGGCCAGGGCTCACTGAGCATTCTTTAGTCTGACCAGGTCAAGTCAGCACAAAATGACCAGGACGTGAAACTTTAGCCAGTCTTCCAGATGCACATCTATGGAAGTCAGTAACTTGTATAAGTACTTAACTCCAAACTAGAACTAATTCTTTTTTTTTTTTTTTCCTCACCCGAGGACATTTTTCCATTTTTTGTTCAGGAAGAGTGGGAGGGAGAGAGAGGAACAGAGAGAGAGAGAGAAACATCGATGTGAAAGGAACACATCGAGTGGCTGCCACCCGCACAACCGACCAGGGCCGGGGACAAACTGCAACCGAGGTACGTGCCCTTAGCGGGAACCGAACCCGGGTCTCTCAGGACCGCAGGCTGACACTCTAACCGCTGAGCCAAACCGGCCAGGGCTAATTCTTTTCTAGTTTTCATGTCATTAGTTTCTTCTGGTTATTCTTTTTCACTTATCATCCTGACCACCTATTCTTCTTTGATCATTAAAGGGTCCAGCATGTCCAAGACCACAGTCATCTTTAGACTTCAAGTCACCCACTCACATTTTTACTCACAGATACACAATTGTTCTCACTTATAATTTACTTCCTCCTCAATTCAGGAAGAGTCCAAAAACCTTAACAGTTTAGAGTTTATATATCTATTTTCAAATCTTAACATTTTAAAGTTGAAAGAAAAAAGCACACGGATAAGAATAAGGACAACAGTATCTCATCAAAGCAAGTATGCTTAATAAAATTTGTATAACATATTCAAGAGAAAAAGAACACACATCTCCCATGAATGATGCCAGGGATGAGTAAGAATGTTCCTTAATCTTGTCATATACAAATTGTGGTCACCCAGAAAACACTTTTCTTATTCCAAAGTTATAAAACATATCCATCAACATTTTATGACCAAACAAACAGTCCGTTAAATGCCTAAGTGTAAAGTAGTAACAGATGTTTGAGTTTTTTTGCAATTATTTTTTTCATGAACAATGTGGAGTAAAGAAGAAGAAAAGGATCAATGCTTTAAAATAATCCATGGGGCCCAGCCGCTGTGGCTCAGTGGTTGAGCATCGACCCATGCACCAAGAAGTCGCCAGTTCAATTCTCGGTCAGGGCACATGCCCAGGTTGTGGGCCCAATCCCCTGTGGGGGTAATGCAGGAGGCCGCCAATAGATGTTCTCTCATCGATGTTTCTAACTCTCTCTCCCTCTAGGCCCTTCCTCTCTAAAACTCAATAAAGAAAAAATTTTTTTAAATAAAATAACCCATGGGGAGAGGGCAGCAAAATAATAAGTCATTACTTCCATAATAGATTATGACAGCTTTTAAGCTCTCCAAACAAAAATATTTATTAGTGGACAGATAAAGTTAGCATGCTAGAGAAGAAAAAAACCAAAAGACGGAAAAAAAAAAAAAACACCTGACTAAAATCTTAAATAGAATAGTTGTCCCATTCACCAACTAGGTGACTAAGTCAATCACAACTTCTGGGTCTGGATTTCCTCATTTGTACTATGGATCTGAGGCCTGCTTTGCCTACAAAGATCAAATCAAATAATGCATGTGAAAGTGAACTAAAGTATGCAAATGAAAGTCATTTTTGCTCTCAGTATCACATTAACAAAGCATTTTGCAGGAGGTGAGATTGACAGTTTTAAACTCTATTTGAGTCTGATGGTTTATTTGATGGTTCTATTTGAAAATGATTATTTGGCACCAAATGACTGACAATAAGAGATCTGATTAATATAGAGGCATGTAAGTGAAGTAAAAGCAGGCATATCATTACCAATTTTTCATTAATATTAGTGACTAGTGAACAGTCCATCTTGTTTCTGCTCAAAGACTACATAGGTTTTTTTAAAAACAAAGGTGATGAGCACTGGCCAGTTTTGCTTAGTGGTTACAAAGCCTGCAAACCAAAGAGTCCCAGGTTCAATTCCGGCCAAGGGCACATATCTCGTTTGCAGTTCAGCCCTGGCCCCGATTGGGGTTGTGCAGGAGGCAGCCAGTCGATGTCTCTCTCTCACATAGATGTTTCTCTCTCTCTCTCTCTGTCTCTCTCTCTCTCTCTCCCTCTCTCTCTCTCCCTCTCTCCCTCCCTTCCTCCCTCTCTAACTGAAGATAAATGAAAAAACATCCTCGGATGAGGATTAAAAACAACAACAACAAAAAAAAACAAAGGTGATGAAACTATTTTCCAAAATTAACTGTTAAGATGAAGGACAATCATCTTAAGTCCTCCAAGTGAAAACAGGTTTGAGAAGAAATTTTAATGCCTCTAAATGGATTAGTAGACTTCAAAAAAAACAAAAAAACAAAAAAAACGGGCAAGTTGTAAACACTGAGGTGACTCAGAAGGTATACCAAGTCATCAAGCAAACAGAATCTAGATTCTTCAACTTCTAGTTCTCACCCAGCACTGTGAGGCTTCAGTGGTTTTGTTTGACCCACAAAGGCTCATTTTACAGGTGCTTTACACAAACTTAACATTTCAGGTACTGCAGTGTGAGATAAATGAAACTGAATTGACGGGCAATGGCTAAAACTTTTAGGTCATCTTTGGTTTATATCATGAAAGGCCTTCAATAAATATTCAACAGTTCAGTCAAACTGATTCAGATGTTTCCCTTGAGTGACAGATATCTAGAAAAAGCAAAGTACACAGAATTCATGCCTTGAGATAAGAACATAAACATACTTCAATGTTTTGGATTTATGTATTTATTTTTATCCTCACCGGAGGACATTTTTGCATTTATCTTCAGATAGAGCGGGAGGGACTGAGGGAGGAAGAGAGAGACAGAAACATCAATGTGAGAGAGACACATCAACTGCTTGCCACCCACATGACCCCAACCAGGGCCACGGACAAACTGCAATGGAGGTACGTGCCCTTAGAGGGAGCCGAACCCAGGTCTCTCTGGTCCGCGGGCCAATGCTCTAACCACGGAGCCAGACCGGCCAGGGAGGATATTTTTATTTTTAATGTTACTTATCAAAGTAGTCCTTTTTTTCATTGTAGTCTTTTAGATAAAATATATATATATATAAAATATATATATATATAATATATATATATAAAATATATATATATAAAAATATATATATAAAAATATATATATATATATATATTATATATATATATATATATTCTGTTCTCTCCCATTTTGTTCCCAGATGAAGAAAAGGAAATAAATAAAGAGAAACAAATTAACAATAAACAGGGAAAGAAAGACATAAAAAGAAAGAACCTTATTGGGGCTGATACTTTAAGCAACTTAAGTTGCTTAACTTCAATGAAAATTTAATTCAGTACACTTGCAACAATTGGAGGATGTGGGGCTGGAGGCTCAGTCCCAGCTGCTTAGTATAAGAGAAGTAGCATAGGACACTGAAGCTGATTCTTAAAGGCAACCTGTCTGTAACTAATTGACTCTCTAACCAGAGAAAAAAAATACCAAATATGTAGAACTTCCACTTCCCTTTTGAAGGTGCTGCATTTCAAGGCATAGCATTAATTCACACAAATCAAGAGAATGTTGGGCACTATGAAGCAAATTTTTAAAAAGTTACCACCACAAATCCTGTATTTGTTTCAATTTACTCCTATTAATTATTCTTCACTAGATGCTATTTTCTAATATTAAAGTCACTAATTGAATTAGGGAATTGTGGACTCACCGAAACACAGACCAGATCCTAGTTACTAAGTATTTGTCTCTTTGTACCAGTTCAACCAGTTAAAGGATTTTATTTATTTTGATTCAACGTGATAT